CTTTTTTTTTTTTTTTTTGCAGATGAGTGTTTGCATCTGTAGGACGTTTCGTATTAAATGTCAAATAGACGTTTAGAAAATGTCTTTAAGATGTTTATGATTTAGAATGTATGTAAAACTGGCATCTTAAAGACGTCTATCAGATGTTTGTACACAGCAGATGCTTCCAGATGAAGCGATCTTTAACAGACATCTTGCAGATGTACGTGTGCTGTCTGGGTTGGAATGGGGGTAAATTCCTTGCTGAGACAGTGTGGCAATGATCAATTTACATATGTGTTTTTCTATCTATCCATTTGTCTATCTATCAATAGATCCTATATAATAACATATAGGTCCCATATAATATGATATAATATATAGGTCCTATACATAGTCTTTGTGTCTGTCTGCATGTCATCTATCCGTTTTTATAGATATGTATTATGTTTATCTACAGTATCTATCTGTTATCCTGTATATCAATTTGTCCATCTCTCTGTCTTTCAATAAATTTGTATCTATCTGTCTGTCTATACATTTATCTATCTGTCTGTCTATCCGTTTACTCATCTACAAATGAATGACATACTGCAGTGAATAGTGCTCCATCCAGTGGTGGATGTGTGAAATCATTCAGTCAGAAATTAAACTTAATGGGGATATTCATTTTACTGAAGGAATTTTGTGCTGGATGGGGGAACTCAAAATATAACACAAATTATTCTGCCAGAATTGACAGTTTCCTTAGAGATTATGTAAAAATACACACAAATGTGCCTTACAGGAGTCTTGAAATCATACTCTGTTCCTTTTTAAAGCATCTTGTTTGTAAAAATCCATGTTTCCCCAGAGTGAATTCCTGTCAAGCATTCAGCCAGTGTGAAGCCTCTCTTGTGCAATAGCTTTCATCTTATCAACACAGACTCTGCTATGTGTGTGCTACATTTCTCTCATTCCCCTTCGCTATTTGCTACAAGACGGCTTTGTTCCTCAATGACTTTTGCCTGTAAAAACAGGACGTTTTTGTGTACTTGAAAACCTGATTGGGTTCTTGCGCATTAAAGCGCTATCTGTTGCAACTGCACTATTATCAGTAGCACTGCCTGTGAGAAAATGTTTTGTGCTGACAATGCAGTCAACCCCATTGCAGTGGTTTGTGCAATAGCCTGCCTTTATGATAAGATCCTTTGTATTTGTGTGGCTTAGCCTGATCACATTACATGCCTTCAAACGAGATTAGCTTCCATTCATCATCGTCACTGTTGTTTAGATTTTCTCTGAAGATTTGAGGAAAAGGGCGATTATCTTTCTTTCCCAGTGTCTATTGGACAGTGAATTAGCTAAAAGTGTTAGCAGAACAAAATCATTCACACACATATATCATTAAAGACTGGTAGAATGACGGCGTCTGGCACGTGTATGTTCAGAGATATTAATTAGGAGTGAAACCCATGCAACCTGTGGATATTATTTTCATTTGTGGATTCCCGTGAAGAATGAAGTAGGTTAATCCAGGCCTATTACAATAAATGTGAGGTTCTTGAAACAGCGTCATGTGGATGTGAAAAAAATAAATAAAATAGAGAGAGAAAAAAAATAGAAGAGTGTATCAAGGAAAAGGAAGCTGAGTATTAATGTCTTTTTTGAAGAATCTTTAAATGACCCCAGTGAGGATTTGACTCATCCTTATGTGAAAATATTGCACCAAACTCTCTTCCTGGGGTTTACAAATCAATATATTTAAACACCTGGGGCCGTATGCATAAAGCCACTCAAAGTAAAAGTTTAGTCTTAAGTGTGTCAAAATTCTAAGAATGACGTAATTTTACTCTTATTCCTAGACTTAAGAATAAGAGTGATTCATAAAGGTTCCTAAGTGTTAAAAGAGGTCTCAGCTCCTAAATTATTTAAGAGAGCTGGAGAGGTCTCCTAACCTAGTTAGGAGTAATAAGAAGGCAGCAAAGAGGAGACGACAAACACTTTCCAGCGAAAATATATTGGGCTTATATGATAATATGGAGTTGATAAAACGATACAAACTTAATTGTAAAGATCAAAAAATATATATATTTTTTTGTAACTGATAAAGTAAAAAATTTAATAGCCTCTTCCACTCAACAAGTCAATGCTCTAACAGCAGAAATGAAAGTAGTAATACATTTTTTTTGGCTGGAAAATTGGAAAAATGCAGCAATGCACCGGTGATGACACAGTAAGCAGGTTCTTATATATTTTGGCACTAACTCCACCAAACACAACAGTGGCCAAAAGTGATGTTTTGATTTTTTTTTTATGACCCCACATTTCACTTAAACCGTTAAAATACAAAGGAAAAAAAAAACACTGACCAATGTTGCCAACTGCTTTCAATTGAAAGTAGCTAAAACTGGTCACTTAATGTTGCTAGATGACCTCATAAAGGTGAGTTCACTGATCTATATTTATATTTATATAGATCAGTGAACTCGCCTTTATGACGTCATGGGAGAGTCTCGGAATGTAGATAACGTTTGTAATTGATTTTGTTGCTAGGCCTTTGAAAAAAGTCTCTAAAGGGATGTGGTAGTCACTAAATAGTGACAAAATCACTAAATTGGCAACATTGGCACACTGACTACAACATACGTTATTTACATTTCATTGGTCCTCTTGTTTTTGCATGTGTTCATAATTTCTTTGTATGATAGCATGGCCAAAAATTATGACCACACAATTTGGCTTGTTTCATTGCATTATTATCACAAATAAAACAACTGACTAAGCAACTACGCAATATGCTTACAAAATCTTGCACATTTTTTTTTTTGAATTAAGGATGAAAATATGTCAAATTTCATAGGCTGGACATCACTTTTGGCCACTATTATATGGCAGTTTATTACATTTTCAACTGACCACCAAACCATACTGCAAAAACAAGCCACTTTTGTGAGGATTGTGGGCTTTCCTGGAGTTATTGGAGCCATTGATGGAAACTGTAAATGAGGAGACATACCATTAAACAAAGCATTAGTAATAATTTGTGATAATTTTGCACAATGCAAAGCATTTAAAAATACATTTAAATTAAAATATTTCAGTCTTAATTAAATTATTTTATTGTAGTTACATTAAATGATTGGTGTTGTGCTGCTGTGACTTTACATGAGCAGGCTCACTATTGGCTGATTCAGAGGTCGAGGTCGGCCATTTTGTGTTGACATCATTGTAGTCCTTAGTTCACAACACTTAAGTGTCACCTCAGTCAACACTTAAGAATCAGTCTTAGACTTTACTGAAAGCTGCTTTTAGCTTCTTTATAAAAGTCTCCTACTCTTAGAAAAGTCCTACTTTTTACTAAGATTTTTTTGACACTTAAGTCAAAGCTTAAGACTATTCTTAAGAGCATTTCTGAGAAGTTTTATACATACGGGCCCAGGTTTTATAGCTTTATAATTGCACTGGTGAGTTTCTCCCATGTGACACCGAATGACGTGATATGTGCACTATGTGAGAGGTAGGTCAAAGGTCAGGAGATTGTATCAGGGACTGTTGCTCAGCTGTAGCTCACAGACCACAGTCTGCAGAGAACATGACAGCTGTACATATCCCAAAGAAACACACGTACACATCCCCACACAGACCACTGAGACAGTAAGACGGTGTTCACACATTCAGTCATTCATTATCAGACACCCCAGAGACACACACACACACACAGTCAGCCGCAGAACAGACATGATGTTCCAATCAACCATTTGTGCAGTAAATCCCAACACTCTGATAACAGACAGACAGATAGATACTGCACATGGATAGATAAACACACAGACAGATACTGTAGATGGATAGATAAATAGACAGATACTACAGATAGACAAATATATAGACAAACAGATAGACAGACAGACAAATATATAGACAGCCATATATAAATGACAGACAAATGGATAGACAGAAAAACACAGTTAAACAAATGGACAGACCGACAGATAGATACAATAGATACATACAAAGACAGACAGACAGATAGATACTGCACATGGAGAGATAAATAGACAGATACTGCAGATAAATATATAGACAGACAGATACTGTAGATGGATAGATAGACAGATACTACAGATAGATAAATATATAGACAAACAGATAGACAGACAGACAAATATATAGACAGCCATATATGAATGATAGATAGACAAATGGATAGACAGAAAAACACAGTTAAACAAATGGACAGACCGACAGATAGATACTGTAGAAAGATACATACAAAGACAGACAGACAGACAGATAGATAGATAGACAGACAGACAAACAGATAGACAAACAGATAGACAGAAATACATTATATTGAATGAATGGATGATAGAGCCATATAAAGATAAATAGACAGATAGATAAATGGATAGACAGAAAGATACTGTAAACAGATAAATAGACAGATAGATCCACCTACAGAAGACTCAGTAGTGTGAAAATCATGGTTTAATCATTTTCTATAACATCAATTCACATGTTTCATAAACATCCCGATACATATTTTGTGCAAAAATGCAATTCATGGGGAGTAAAAAGACATGAGGAAAAGAAAACAAAAAGAGAACAGATATCAGTTTCTGAACTACTATAAAAGTGCAGATACACAGTCAACAGTGCAGACATTTGAGTGCTTGGCTAACAACTGTTAGAAGATACTTGCTGCATATTCAGAATGCGGGACACACATGCTGCAATCTTTACAGTGACATGGAAATCCTGACAGGTTATTTAAACCATAGCCGTTGTAGTTGATTCAGTACTTCTAAATGAATTGTGATGATCAGTGGTTTAATTATTTCAAGAACGGTTAGCAAACTTCATTAGAGCTCCAGGCATAGCATGTTTTTATAGTATACTGTACATTTTAGACAAGTAATGGGGATAAATCTGAATACTAGTCTGTTATTCTTATAAAATCAACTTCGTTTCGTCATAATAGAAAAATGCTTTGGTGAATTTTAGTTCATACCCAGCATTAACACAGTAAACGAATAAGGCCACCAAAACATGGCAATTTGTACCATAGGAAAGCAACAATTAATGGACCATGTCCACTATCACAGAACAATAAATTACATTGAGATATAGTACACAAGGAATGTTTACACTTCATATAGAGAAAAGATAAATGTTACACAGACATAGTTGGCACTTAAATGCAGAGAATAATACATATTCAGTGCATGTTACAGGGCACAAAACCATTCAATAATAATGAACAAGAAACCAATATACAGCATTCAATCAAGTGTCCGAGGACACTGAAGACTTCACAAAAGCATCCATATCACCATTTTGTAGAATTTATGAGAATAGTTCATAAAAAATAATATTAGTTGCATAGTGTTAGAATATATAAACAATCAAGCTTCAAACAGTGATGAAGCAAACCAGTCTGGAGTCCTTAACTCCGAGTGGGTAAACAACTTATGGCTGAAGCTCCTCCAGATCTCATTTTCTGTCTCAGAAGTGTTCGTTATACAATAGGAAAGCTTAGGTCGTTCCTGGTACATCTGCTAGATTTGCAGTTTATTATTTTATTCAGGTGATGTGGGCAGGTTCTCTTATGTCCACACGTCCATGGGCACCATGGCTTCTTTTGATCCGATGGGTGGCAGAAGGTTCTGCTCGCTGAGGAACTGGAGAGGGAACTGGACCAGGAAGCCTCGAATCTTCTTCAGCTCCTCTTGAGCACGTGCAGGGTCCTCTTTCTCCAAACCAGGCTTAGAGAGGAAGCCATCCAACTCCAAAATTGACCGAACATCACTGGATGGCAAGCAGCGGAACACCTGGAGGAGATGGAGAAGTTTCAGCTAGGTTATATGAAAAGCAACTTATTCATTTAATTATGAACGATAGACAGACAGACAGACAGACAGACAGAGAGAGAGAGACTGTGTGAAAAGGTTAAGCTGACCTTCTGGTAGATGGTTGCATTGCGGGCAGCGGTGGTCATCCACACCTCCTTGTAAAACTGGTCACTTATAGGGTCCGTCACATCAATGCTGGGGTCAGTGTTGGCGCCTAGAATCATCCTATTGATTTCAAAGGAAGTAGAAAACGTCTTTGAACCTTATTTGTATGTTTCTAAAAATGCTAAATGCAAGACTTGAATGAGTCCTGAACCTGAAACACTCCAGCCGCAGACTCAATCCAAAACATCCTGCCTGATACTCCTGACCGTCCATCACTGACGTCACAGTGTGGATATCCTCATAAATGACAGCCACCTCACTGTCTCTCTTACCCAGCATGCTCCGGTCATTGATATTGGCAGAACCTGATGGATGCAATATACATTTTTGATTATTATGATGAAAGTACTGAAAATGCATGAAACATTTGGACTACAATACTACATCTTAACAGCAGGAGGAGGCATTTCATCTCTGTCATTCTCTGATATTAACAGTTTACTTCACATTACCACAAATTATGACAGCAGCAGTTTGATGATTGCCACATCATTTCTACTAGCACAAGTGTACAGACGATACAGTCATTATGCTTTTTTCCTGTCTGCAAATATCTATTTTTACTCACCAATGATGACAGTGTTGTCGTCGGCAATAAGCATCTTGCTGTGCACATATATCAGTTCAGTCACCAGCCTTCCCTCCAGCTCAGCGTGGGTCCTCAGACCCCCGAATGAGATGTAATTTATCCACTGATCACCCACTGCAGAGACAGATAGAGAGACAGCTAATGGGTTTGGGGTTTTTATACATTCATGTTCCGGTTTCGTTTGATGTTTACAAGGCATAGTTTACAGTAATAGTTCAGCCAAAAAGAAACATTGTGTCATTTACCTTTATAACTTATTCATCTGTGGAAAAAATATTTTGAGAAATGTATTTTTTTTTTTAGTTTAGTTTAGTTTAACTTAGCTTAACTTAACTTGATGCACTAAAATAATAAAACTAAAATTGAAAATTAAAAACTACTGTATATAAACATAAAAAAAAGAAAATTGACAAAAACAGCTAAATTAGCCTACTAAAATTAACAAAAAAAGAAAACTATTCAGCAAGCATCCATTTTATTTTTTCTGTATGCTTATACGGAGATATATTGATTTATTTTGGTTAAAACAATGGATGATAAAATCGTTTTGGATGAAAGTGTCTGCCAAGTGCATAAAATGCAAACAATTATTATAAGCCAACTTTATTTTGGAGCATAAATAATCAAATATCAAAAACATGATGATCACAGGCACAGAGGTTAGACTTAAAGGATTTTCAGGTTCAGCTTCGTTGCGTTAGTTTAAAGTCATTTAATTTCGACGGGACATGACCGAGCATGGTGATGTCTGAGTAATTAGTCTGTCCATTTCCACAAGTTTAACCCATTTGCTCTGTGAGAAATTGGACTTTTCACATGTATTTCTGCACCTCTCACATTCACACCGCATGAGGAGCTCAACAGAGGCAAGAGACATTTCCTTCCTCTGAAACTTTATCCGCTGGTGTTACAGTTGTACAATGTCACAGAAAAAAGAATGCTACATACAGCTTAATCTCATATTTCCCAATATTTATTTTACATATAACTAACTTTTTGTATATTTTTGCACCATTGATTTTTTCTCATCCAGTTTTATTTGAGCAGAAGGATATGCAGTTCTACAACACAACTCTGTATTTATAACCACACCAGACCAATGATACACCCACAATCAAGCTCCTACACCTTCAGAGAACAGCGATATGTATCTGTATTCGGGACAGTGCAAGAACGCTCGGATCCAGTGAAGCTGCAACAGAACACCAACGACGTGCTGGATAATTCAAACACAAAGAGAAACTCCATTCCTTCCTTTCTCATGGCGGGGTTAATGGGTACAGACTGACTGTTCTTCACCACATCGTGACACTGCAGCAGTGTGTTTGACTGCAAGTAGATGGTGCACGATAAAAAAAACACCTACACATTGCGTACTTCTCCACAAGGTCTTTCACAACAAACCACTGTGACTTTGTCTTTTACTGTACTATGAATTAAGAACCACAAGAGGGCACTGTTGTGTTTTAATGTTCTTAAAGGGGTCATACAATGCTGGGGTCAGTGTTGGCGCCTAGAATCATCCTATTGATTTCAAAGGAAGTAGAAAACGTCTTTGAACCTTATTTGTATGTTTCTAAAAATGCTAAATGCAAGACTTGAATGAGTCCTGAACCTGAAACACTCCAGCCGCAGACTCAATCCAAAACATCCTGCCTGATACTCCTGACCGTCCATCACTGACGTCACAGTGTGGATATCCTCATAAATGACAGCCACCTCACTGTCTCTCTTACCCAGCATGCTCCGGTCATTGATATTGGCAGAACCTGATGGATGCAATATACATTTTTGATTATTATGATGAAAGTACTGAAAATGCATGAAACATTTGGACTACAATACTACATCTTAACAGCAGGAGGAGGCATTTCATCTCTGTCATTCTCTGATATTAACAGTTTACTTCACATTACCACAAATTATGACAGCAGCAGTTTGATGATTGCCACATCATTTCTACTAGCACAAGTGTACAGACGATACAGTCATTATGCTTTTTTCCTGTCTGCAAATATCTATTTTTACTCACCAATGATGACAGTGTTGTCGTCGGCAATAAGCATCTTGCTGTGCACATATATCAGTTCAGTCACCAGCCTTCCCTCCAGCTCAGCGTGGGTCCTCAGACCCCCGAATGAGATGTAATTTATCCACTGATCACCCACTGCAGAGACAGATAGAGAGACAGCTAATGGGTTTGGGGTTTTTATACATTCATGTTCCGGTTTCGTTTGATGTTTACAAGGCATAGTTTACAGTAATAGTTCAGCCAAAAAGAAACATTGTGTCATTTACCTTTATAACTTATTCATCTGTGGAAAAAATATTTTGAGAAATGTATTTTTTTTTTTAGTTTAGTTTAGTTTAACTTAGCTTAACTTAACTTGATGCACTAAAATAATAAAACTAAAATTGAAAATTAAAAACTACTGTATATAAACATAAAAAAAAGAAAATTGACAAAAACAGCTAAATTAGCCTACTAAAATTAACAAAAAAAGAAAACTATTCAGCAAGCATCCATTTTATTTTTTCTGTATGCTTATACGGAGATATATTGATTTATTTTGGTTAAAACAATGGATGATAAAATCGTTTTGGATGAAAGTGTCTGCCAAGTGCATAAAATGCAAACAATTATTATAAGCCAACTTTATTTTGGAGCATAAATAATCAAATATCAAAAACATGATGATCACAGGCACAGAGGTTAGACTTAAAGGATTTTCAGGTTCAGCTTCGTTGCGTTAGTTTAAAGTCATTTAATTTCGACGGGACATGACCGAGCATGGTGATGTCTGAGTAATTAGTCTGTCCATTTCCACAAGTTTAACCCATTTGCTCTGTGAGAAATTGGACTTTTCACATGTATTTCTGCACCTCTCACATTCACACCGCATGAGGAGCTCAACAGAGGCAAGAGACATTTCCTTCCTCTGAAACTTTATCCGCTGGTGTTACAGTTGTACAATGTCACAGAAAAAAGAATGCTACATACAGCTTAATCTCATATTTCCCAATATTTATTTTACATATAACTAACTTTTTGTATATTTTTGCACCATTGATTTTTTCTCATCCAGTTTTATTTGAGCAGAAGGATATGCAGTTCTACAACACAACTCTGTATTTATAACCACACCAGACCAATGATACACCCACAATCAAGCTCCTACACCTTCAGAGAACAGCGATATGTATCTGTATTCGGGACAGTGCAAGAACGCTCGGATCCAGTGAAGCTGCAACAGAACACCAACGACGTGCTGGATAATTCAAACACAAAGAGAAACTCCATTCCTTCCTTTCTCATGGCGGGGTTAATGGGTACAGACTGACTGTTCTTCACCACATCGTGACACTGCAGCAGTGTGTTTGACTGCAAGTAGATGGTGCACGATAAAAAAAACACCTACACATTGCGTACTTCTCCACAAGGTCTTTCACAACAAACCACTGTGACTTTGTCTTTTACTGTACTATGAATTAAGAACCACAAGAGGGCACTGTTGTGTTTTAATGTTCTTAAAGGGGTCATAGGATTTCCACAATCCACAAGTTGATATGATTCTTTGGGATCTTAATGAAAAGTCTGTAACATAGTTTGGTTATCAATGGTAGATGGTAGTGTAAAAAACATTTTTTACCCTGTCAAAAACAGCTCTTTTCAGATCAAGCCGTTTTTGTAGCATTTTCCTTTAAATGTTAACGAGCTCTGTTGACTGTTTACTTTAGCCGCATTCATCGTGAAACTTGCTAATTAGCACATTATTAGGAAAGGTGATTTGCAAAGATTCATTACAAATCATTATACTCACTTCTTCTGTAGATGAGGCTGGATCATGAATGATTCGCGCGAACAGACACATTTATGTAGATCGGGGGCGCATTCCCATCAGAAACAAATGTAATCCACTGCGAGTTCAGCAGCTCAGATGTCGGTAGTAAATGATGACTGCGGTTCATTATTACATCCAACAACAGAACACCTCAATCGCTTAGGAGTCATTCTTGTCTACATCTACTCTGCGGTGAAACAATGGCGGACTGATGACAGCTCACTCAGGGCGGGTCTAAGGTAAGACACCAGTCCAGTCTGTGCTGAAATGCTACCGTCGCTCAAACTATCGTGGGAGGGGCCTGTCTGTGTGACGTCACACACGCATCTGAGATCGGCTTGATTTGAGAAAGGGGAAAACATTTAACCAGATAAAAAAAAACACTGGGTGGATTTTTATCATTATAGGGTGGTTGTGTACACACACTGCCAACACACATTTCAGTTCAAACAACTTGTAAAAGTGCATGTAGCATCCTATGACCCCTTTAAGGCTTCTTTAAGATCTAGTATTATCAAAGCTGCATTAAGAGATGTGAGATCAGAGTAAGTCACTTCATGGGTTATTACAGTTGTCGCTTATATAAGCTACAACTAAAGCAAACTTGTTTGAGAATATAAGACAATGATGTATTATTGTCCATTACAATGTAGTTTTTGTGATGGGACGCCTAAAGGCTTTATAGGTAAATGGTTAGCACTTCAAGAAATACTTGTTTTCTTGCTCTTGTCTGTTTGAGCCTCTCCTTTGACACTGAAACCCATCAAATAAAATTAACCAAGTCATTAATTTTTCAAAACGTGGATACAGAAAACCACATAGGTCTCGGAGTGCCTGAACTGCATGGGTCAACCACAGAACTTTCACAGAAATCCCATGAAGAACATCTGGTTAGTGTACGAGCCAGATCTTCTGAAGAATGACACATACAGCCTTCACAGATTAAACATTTATGGGTATTTATATATCTCTGTACTCACCTTCTTTCTTCAGCTGAGAGATAATGGAGCAGTCTCCCCTAATCATGGTCCTGCACAAACATGAAAATATTAAAAATGGCACAATAATCAAAAAATTAGTAAATAAATTCATCCAATGAAACACTCCCTGTTTATGTGATAAATGATAACTATTTACTGCCAGCAATAATAATATTTTAAATTTTATAGATAAACGTAAGGAATGTGCTGTCTTCAATACAAGCAAAGCTCTTACCACAAATAAAAAATAACTGCTTAAGTAAAGCACTTACAGTACAATGGAAATCAAACACACTTTTTAAACAATTGAAGTTTAAAACACTATTTATAGTCACGAGTACAGTGCAGTACAGTATATAAAAAGTATTAGACATGTTATTAGACAAAGTGTTATATAGTACACTTACTAATCTTGTCTGTACATTATATTCAGTATTTCACTTTTACTAGCATTGACAATGTATTTTCTGTGATAATCGGCTTTATGCAAAAAAGATGGACTACTGAAGATGGATAACATCTATATATAATATTAAACACAGCTTAATTTTCAGCATAATTACTCCAGTCTTCAGTGTCTTATATGCTGATTTGGTACTTAAAAAAATTATTTAAAGTTTAAAAAAAAAAAAAATAATAATAATAATTATTATTTTTCTTTTTTTGAAAACCATGATCATTTTTTTTTTCATGATTCTTTGATGAATAAAATGTTCAAAATCTTTTCTAATTTCTTTATTGTCACTTTAGATCAATTTATGCATCCTATACAGAATGAAGTATTGTTTTATTTCTTTAAACAGTAGTATATATACTAAGGAAATTTCTTTCTACACGATACTCAGATCTTAATATTTAGTGTTACCTGTAATTGAAGTGCATGACTGCCTGTATGGCACTGCCTCCTCCAGTGTTGATGTTCCCCTCAAACCCAGGAAGCAGTGGTGTCACCACATATACGCGGTACTTTTTACCATCCCTGTGAACCAGAAAGAAAGAACATGAGATCACTTGTTATCTTTAGAGTAAGAGATATTAATATGAAAGACAGTTTAAGAATGGCCCTACACAGTCCATCTATTCATGGTCAGCTATTGATTTACCAATAAAGAATACCTTTTTGTCTTTAGACAAACAATTTTCTGTATGTCTTATTAATTTACAAGTGTTTCATTAAAGAAGTTATGTGCCTTTGTGTGTCAGAGGTTTGTGGACATACAAAACTAATAGGCTGAAGACTGGACAAAAGATGCAAATTATTGAACACAGCTCACCGATATGCTTTTATGATCCTCTTGGCAATGGCATCTCCAATTTTATTGTGAACGACTTTGTTGTCCGCGCAGCTTATGAAAAACTGGTTCTGAAAGAGGAAACACACATTTGCCCACTGAAAGGCTAATATAGGACATCCAGTATATTCTATAGATATAAAAGCCACAATCTCTGTGGTTAGCATCAACAGTGAGGCTATTAGATGGGGACAATGTGAACACATTTAGAGAACTGAGTATATGTTCTTTGTGCCACACACCTCTATGTAAATATAGTGTTTGCTGTTTTCAATTGCATTGACGTAAGCCGTATGAATCGACTCCTCATGGTATTTTATTCCCGCTGACCAGTCCGAGGCAGATCGCAACAGCTAATTAAAGAGAGAATTAGCATATGAATGCTGTAAGTGGTATTTGTCTGTAGAAGATCTGATGGGAATATTGAAAATTGTACCTGGACATTAGTCTGGGTGCAGCCAGGGACCTGATACTTGATCTCATTTGCAGTAGTGTGAGATTTAGGAAGGAGGTATGGGTACGACAAGGACCTGTATTTGGGCTTCATGATCTGAAACAAGATGGCAATCCAAATACAAACATATATTCAAAGCCATGGTTATGATATTAGTCAATAGCACAGAGGCTGACATGAAATACCTTTGGGAAGTTGAAATGTCTTGTGGCGTGACATGTTATGCAGTATCCAAAACGATTAAAACGAATTCCATTTTAATTATGCATGCAACTTTTACCAAAAAAGACTGTGGAATATTTGTACTTTTAAAATTAATTTCTCACACTGCAGGACCATTGAAAATGACATGACAAAAATGCTGATCAGTTAAAAAAATATATACTTTTCTTTGACATTCATATGCATTTTAACATAAACAAATCAGTTTGTATATTTTATATATATCATCGATATATATAAAACATTTTTTTTAATATATATCATTGATATATATATATATATAGATATATATAGATATATATATATATGATATAGAGATATAGATATATATAGAGATATAGAGATATATAGAGAGATATATATAGAGAGATATATATATAGAGATATATAGATATATAGATATAGAGATATATAGATATAGAGATATAGATAGATATAGATATATATATAGATTAGATATAGAGATATAGATATATAGATAGATATAGAGATATAGATAGATATATATAGATATAGATATAGATATATATAGATATAGATATATATAGATATAGATATATAGATAGATAGATATATATATATATATAAAAAACTGAAAATATTGAGAGACAGCATGAAGATATATTGCGCTAAATGATGCCAATGTTGTCTTTCTCACCTTTGTGAAATTCCAGCGCTGAATAAAGTGCCGTGCAACATCTCTGGCAGCTTTCCCATGAACCACCGAGGCGATGTCATGCCAAGGCATTCTGGGAGTTATGTGCCTGTCGATGAAATCTGCAAAAAGAGCAGAATACAGAAAAAAAAAATTTAATTTAAATTTAATTTAAATGTAAATAATTTGAATCTAAAAAAAACATTCAACGTAACTTTAAATTTCTAATTTAATTTAAAAGCATGCTAAAATTTTACAGTTTGAATATTGTAATATTTTTGCAAACATACATATGAATATTGTATGGATGATAACACTTTTATATTTATTCATTTTATGTATTGTATTGTATTTATATAAATAAAATAATTTTAAAACCATTAAACACTGTCATTTAAAAAAAATGGCAAACTTTAGATACTATAATTCACCATCAAAAGGTTTATCCAACTGGACCCAGTCCTTATGAACAAAGTTGCAGTAATCTTTGCCATGCCAGAACCGCGTGTTCCCCATCAGACCAATCACATCTGCTTGCAGGTCCTGCGCCGCTTCAGTATCTAATAAGAGTGACACAGAAAAAAATAAAGAAATTCAGCAACAAATAAACACAAAAATCAAAGAAAAATGCAACCAAGAGTAGAACAATATATATATATATATATGTGTGTGTGTGTGTGTGTGTGTGTGTGTGTGTGT